AATCCCACTGTATTTTTTTTCTTTCGTCCTCCCCCCCCCTCCCCCCCCCCTCCCCCCCCCCCCCTCCTCCCCCCAAAACCTCCCAGAAACTACAACTCCTAAATGACAAAATCAAAACATTTTGAGTAAAGGACATAGATTGGGTTGTTAGGTGTATGCTATCCAAATTTGGCGTCAATTGGCTCACTGGTTTTTGAGTTCTGTTAATCCCACAAACGAACATTATACACACACACACACACACACAGGACAAGCCAACTTTGCCCTCCAGGTATTTTGGGCTTCAGCTCCCACAATTCCTAACAGCCAGAATTGTGGGAGTTGAAATCCAAAATACCTGGAGCGAGGGCTGAAGTTGGCCAAGGCCTGATATAAATATATTCCCCTTCCTTCCTTCCTTCCTTCCTTCCTTCCTTCCTTCCTTCCTTCCTTCCTTCCTTCCTTCCTCCTCACTCTTTCCCCAGCCTTCTTCATATTCTCTCTCTGTGTATATATATCTCCCACTTCCTTCCTTCTCACCCTTTTCCCTGCCTTCTCCCTATTCTTTTTATCTCTCTCTCTCTCTATATATATATATGTGTGTGTGTGTGTGTGTGTGCGTGCGTGCGTGCCCAAGTTGGCCCAGGCCTGGATATATGTCACCTTGGCTGTTAGTAATTGTGGGTGTTGGAGTCCAAAACACTCAGAGGGAAGGCCAAAGTTTACCCAGGCCTGGATATCAGAGCAATTGATGGGATAAGGCTGCATTCACACAATGGAAGGAATGCAGTTTTATGCTACTGTAACTGTCATGAGGAAGAAAGGAAGATATTTTGGGGGAGGGACGTGTAAAAGGGAACCCAAAGAGAAAGAGGTGTAAAAGGGAACTCAAACCACAAGGACTCTGTGAAGCACACTTTGAGAACCACTGCTCTAGAGATTGAGTGGATTGGGTGTGAAACGGTGTAATAATACCATAAGAAATACTTCAAGTGTATCTCTTAGCATGTACAAAAAGTTTATGACTTTGTCCCCTAAAGCTGTCACTGCCATTTTCATATGGAACTTTTCCAGTGTGATTCACTAATATTAATGCCACCAAGTGTGATTGTCAATAATAATAATAATAATAATAATAATAATAATAATAATAATGCTTTATTAATAGCCCCCAAGGGGACTCAGGGCAGCTTGCAACAAAATAAAATACAGTGGCAGACATTCAATGCCGAAGCTAACATATAACATTTCAAAAAAGCAGCTTAAATAAGACATAATACATGCCACACATTTAACATATTAAATCCTTAAAAACTCTTAAAATTCAACTTGAGATGGGATGGGACTGAGAGGAGGGCCTCCTCTGCAGACTGTAGTGCTTGTGCTCATTTGTATACGGAGATGTGGTTTTTCAGATAATCTGGGCCCAAACTGTTTAGGGCTTTATAGGTAATGACCAGCACTTTGTATTTAGCCTGGAAGCAGACTGGCAGCCAGTGGAGTTGTCCACTCCCTGTACGGCGCTCCAGTTAGTAATATGGTTGCCGATCTCTGAACCAGTTGAAGCTTCCGAACTGTCTTCAGAGGCAGCCCCACACAGAGAGTGTTGCAGTAGTCCAGGTGGGATGTGACTAAGGCATGTGATCCCAATGGACTTCCTTCTGCGTCACAATATTGCTGCTAAGCTACCAGAAAATTTGACAAATTCGATGACTATAAACTTAACAGCAGCAATGAAAACAATGGTGTGTGCTTGTAGGATGTGCCGATGAAACAATGTGATTGACAGTGTCATTGTGCTTGAGTAATAATGACATATCTGACTGGAGTGCAGACACACCTGAAGACTCAAAAAGTAAATCAGTATAGAGTTTTAACCTTGCAGGTATATTGTCACAGTACAGGTAAGTATGAGGTTATATCTAACTTTTGTGGATCCAATTTGCTAATTTGCACCAATTGACATACATACATACACCATGTTCTTATTCCAAACCAGGAATATTTATATGAAACTAGCCCTCCCCTGCCACGCATTGCTGTGGCCCACATGGGGGTTCTGTGTGGGAGGTTTGGCCCAATTCTATCGTTGGTGGGGTTGAGAATGCTCTGTGATTGTAGGTTAACTATAAATCCCAGCAACTACAATTCCCAAATGTCAAGATTCTATTT